GTCTCCGGCACGGCAGGTAGGCAGACTGGCTCCGCAGCGAAGGCGAGCAGGGCAGCTGCGGCCAGCCTGGCGGCTGGACATGGAGGAGCTGGGAGGCGTGGCTGGCCTAGGCCGGGTTGGCGCTTCCAGCCCAGCGGGTCAGCGGTCGTCCCGGGGGCAGGCAAGGCGCGGACGGCCCCGGGCCCTGCGCCGCGGACAAAGCCCGTGGCAGCCCAGCCGGCTCGAACGCGTGATCCCTGCCTCCCTTCATGAGGACTGACCTTTTCAAACACGTCTGCTAGGTTCTCAGTCGCTTGAGAACGCCTTGTGGACTGGAAGAACAAGGGTCCCTTTTCTTCGGAGCGGAGCCGGCTGTCTCTCACTAGCAAACGGTTTGTTCAGACCACATATACACAGTCGTTCCAACTTAAGCCAAAAATTCAAAAAGGTAATTAAGCTAGTTCACTCCAACCCCACCCACCACCACCCCCCGCCTCCCTGTCCCAGCGTAGGAAATGTCAGTACCCACCTGGGAGGCCAAGGCCCAAGGAAAACAGCTTGAGTGAAACTTTGGATGTCATTTAAACTAAAATTTAAAGCAATGATGTCGGGGTGTCAGGAGAATTTACCAAAAAGATAAATACTGAAAAGGAATACCGAGCAGCCGGTTGGGCTCAAAGGGCAGGGCATGTGCCCAAGCACCTGTTCACAGTAGAGTCCAGAATTCCTCTGTTGGGTGTCTCTTATATCCTGCCAACTATGCCAAGCAAATATTAACAGGAAATCAGTTAACAATCAAGAAGCCAAAAAGAATTTGATTCAAGTCAAACTGAGGATTGTAACCCAGGAGATAGAGCCTTACAAGCTCTGAGAACTCTTCTCCTGTTAGCAGCCCAAGGCATAGTCATATGCATTTTTGAGACAAAGGAGCCTACAGAATGACATTTTACATAAAGTTCACCAAAGACACATTGTCCAAGTAAACACAAAGCAAGCAGTATGTCACTCTGACCCCCTATGGAGTTGGGAAAGGATGGTCATCTTTAAGAAGTTGCATTGCTAGGGTCACAAAAAGAGGGGGAAATATCTCTGCTGTGTAACAGGTATTCCCCTCTTTCAGAAGGTCTGGCTGGTGTGTATCACAGGATGCACACTCGGAGGGAAAGGGGAGGCTGAAAGGGGGGGGCATGAAGGGAAAGAGAGTTTTGTGTAAAATTTTATTGTCTTGCCTTGAAATAGAAATTTTATTTCCTCACAAATCATCCAGTAGTTGACCCATTTCCTCAAAAGGCACAAGATCATATTTCCAGTTTTGTACCAAGTGGAACCCATCTTTGTGTTCATCCCCTAAGGCCACAACACTGCCAGGCCGGCAGAGAATCATGAGGTACCCCCCTTTTGAACAGAGTAGACTGATTACCAAGAAGCTTCCACAAAGGCTCCTCAACAGAATTGGAGAACTCAACACAAAGGGAGAAGAGCTGAGATCTCAGATCAGTCAGAAATCAGTGAGCGCAGTAGGCTCCATGGGTACCAGCTGCAGTTACTTACCAGCTTCAGATTGCTTCCTACCCTATTTTAACAACAAGAATTGTTAAAAGAAAATTCAGAGAGCTTTACTGGATATAAATATTTTATTGAAAAAGAAACAAACTTCTCAAAAGGGAAGATTTCAAATTCAAAGCTAGTATGAAGCTCCAGAGCCTTGATGTCTCAGGGCAGCTTATAAAGTGAACGTGAGGAAACTGTTTGACCTTTACAATGATTGGTTATTACGCTGGGGGTTTCCAGGGAGCAGGGGACTGGTTAAAGTGATTATCCTACTTCATTTTAAGAAGATAACAACAGTTTTTTAAAAACCATTTTCAAAGACATTTGTAAGGAATAGCCTGAGTTAAATTAATCGTGTGTTTTGAATAAATTCGATTTAGTTTTGCTTACGTGCCTTATTCAGTTTTCTTGATCTGGGGAGTTTTCACGGCCTATCTATGTTTTCTTTCTTTTCACCTCACTTTATTCATGCCATTTTATCCCCTGCACCTCCGGATCTTTCAAGATTTCAAACTCTTTTGAAACTCGGTTCTCAGTTTCTAGGGGACAGCACTCTCGAAAAGCTCCAAAACTGACATCTGCCTTTGGACACAATGTTTCGATCTGCGCTGTGCCCGCCTGCTGGGTGCCGCCACGCTTAGGTCTCTGGTCCGCAGCGTTTTGTCGATCGCCCTCGGGCAAGTGCACTGGACCGGTGTTTTCTCAGTAGTTTCCGCCAGAGTCGAGCTGGCCCTTTCTCTGGGTCGCAGCTTTGTAACAACTGAATCACAGCGCTCACGTCTACAACTGCGGCACGCAGAGTCCTGTCAGCGAAGGAAGGGGGAGTGTGGGGTGCCAGACCCTAGACGGCGCCCGGGGAGGAAAGTACAGATTTTCAATCACCAATGAGTTCAATCCTCAGGGACTATTTTGGCCCCCGAGAAATCGCAGTAGGAGAACGGTTCTAAGACTTGTAGTTAACATTTACCGAGCGTTGAGACGGTGCTGGACGTGGCTCTAACTCGGCGCCCCACATCAGCCCGGGACAGGGCGTCTATACTCTAGTTCAGCTCCCGTTTTCTTTAGGGAGGTGAGGCGCCTGGCGCCGGGAAAGGCGTCGGGAAAGTCACCGAGAAACTCTGACACCCTAGCGGTCAGCGGCCAAGAAACATCGGGTTTGGAGGAAGGAAAGGTGCGTCGCCAACAAGACACCCAGCGGGTAGCAGACTCGCCTTGTGTCAGAAAAAGGGCAGCCCGTCTGTCCCTTAGAAATGTTACTAGATGTTACTAGATCCCCAGGTCGGGGCGAATCCCGGCGCCACGACGCTGACCCGGCGGCACGAAGCGAGCGGAGCTAGGGCCGAGAAGGGACAGCACAGGGAACCTGGGGCCCACGCGAGGGAGACAAGTTCCCTTTAGTGCTGGGAGGGTGGATGCCAAAGAGAAAGCGCCGGCTCGGCGCTGCAGGCCGAAGTGCGGCTGAGAAATCCCCGGCTGGGCGGCTGGAACAGCCCGCAACCTTGGCTCCCGGACCCTCCACTGGCGGCGCAAGATCCAGGGGCGCCCCAGAGGGTTACCGTTGAGCGCAGACAGACCCAGAGACTCGGTGGAAAACTACACTTACATTATAATAACACAAATGAGAATACGTCCTCAGGCGCAGATACAAGTAAAAACAAAACACGATCGCGTAACGATTGCAGAGCAAACCACACCGAAAAAGAATTTCTGCAAGCCAACCGTTCAGAGAAGCTAACTCTACAAAGATCAGACAGCAGACACCGTGGATAGGTATAGTCTACTGCGATGGCCTGAGACCTGGGACTCTTTGCTGCAGTCCTGCAATGCTTGCACCTGGACAAAATGTCTCCTCCAGAGGCACCAAGATAAAAGAAACTATAAGGAGCTAAAAAGAACCGCGTGCCTGCCTAGTTGGGGCAAATTCTGGACAAGGAGACACAAAGAGACCTAAAATCCCACCTGCCACTTACACGGAGCAGAGAGCAAGAGCAGGGTACTGCTCACGCTCCTTGCCCAGGACACCCTCTAAGGGGTTGGTAAACCACCCAATCCACCAACCCCTGGGCACACCCCTATCCTCACCCCATATAAGGAACCAGCTGCCCCACCTCCTTGAGAAAGCAAGTTCTTGGCTCCCACTTTCTGCAGCAGGGGCCCCAGTAAAGACTTGCCTGAATTTCTCATCTAATCTCTCTTCAATTTTTATTGATTAAAGAGGCCAAGAACCCTGGTTAGTAACACTACCATTAAATGACTACTGTCACTCTTGCTAAATCAGTGTTGGCCACGCTGAAAATCGCTGGGCGGGACATTCTATGGCTTATAAGACTTGTTAATTTGTACAAGAGTGAACTGGGAAGCAGAGGTTAATGTGGAACTTGCCAAATTGAAGCCGGCTCTAAGCAAGTACATTGCTTCTGGCCACTCTGAGGATGGGGATGGCCAAGGGGCCTTGACCCTGAGAAAGTGCCAGCTGGGCTCTAATTGCAAGTTCTGAGAAAACTCCGGTCCAGTGTACTGGCCAGGGCCGCAACCTCCAAAACGCTGACACAGAGGCTCTAACAGGGCCGATGCAGGGACCCAGCCAGACAGGCAGAGTTCAGCAGTGTTGTGTTCAAAGGCAACTATTCATTGGTGGAGCTTTCAAGGCACTAAAAACAGCAGAGACTGAGAAATGAGGGTATTAACTCTCAGGAAAGATCAGAGTTGCAGGGGATAAAATGAGATGAATCAAGTGGGATGAAAGGAAATAAAATATAGATAAGGCTTGAAAATCCCCCTAGGGGACAAAACGGTTTGGGCCATGTAAACAAAACTAAGGGTTCCCCAGGTGACTCAGTAGTAAAGAATCCACCTGCCAATGCAGGAGACACAGGTTCAATCCCTGGGTTGGGAAGATCCCTTGGAGTAGGAAATGGCGACCTACTCCAGTATCTTTGCCTGGACAATCCCATAGATGGAGAAGCCTGGCGGGCTACAGTCCATGGTGTCGCAAAGAGTCCTGTCGGATTTTGCGACACACACACACTGCCACTAAGGGCTACAACCACACGAGGCCAATCTCATCGTTCCACCACCGTCCAAGGGCATCAGGCAGACACCAGCTTTGCGAGGTCCCCCAATTGACCACATAGGGGAGGGGTCGGCGCGCCGGGCCCAAACTTTGGCTTTGGAGCTTCGGCGGCACCGCAAACCAGGAACCACCAGTCAGGACTTGCTGTTCTGAAACCGGAATTTGCTACGACTGAAAACTCGCAGGCCGCAAAGAAGGGCGTCTTGTTACCCTAAGGAATCCCTCCAGCCCGGCTTGCTCAGACTGAAAAACCCCGAGGGCAAGGTTAAAGTCCGACTTTCTACGACTGAGAAGTCGCAGGCGGAGCTAACCCGCTGCTGGTCCTGAATAGCGACTCGTTTTGCTCGAGAAACCACGCTGACCAGTGCTTTCTCCAACCGCGATTCGCAAAACACCGATGCCAGCGCCGCAACTTGGCGCTGGCTCCAAGCAACGCGGCCCGGGAGCATGGAGCCGCGCAGGGACACAGGAGGAGCACCCAGGCCACCGAGAAAACGACTGCATGCACACGTGTTCTGTGATAGAAAGTGCCACCGGTAGTGGGGAAGATGTCCTGGGAGAACTTAGGGGTTCGATTGTGGAGAGCTTTCCCACGCCCTGCGCTCCGGTCGAACTGGAAGGTGAGTTCTGTGCCGCACGGCGGTTTCTGGGCAACTTACTGCCTTTTTTTTTTTTTAAACTTACTGCTTTTACCAAGGGAAATATCCCCGGGCCGCTCAAGTAGCTGTGCTGCTGGTGAGAAAGCAGGGACGGTGGAGAAAGGTTGGTGCGCGCATTCGGAAACACTTTGGTTGGAAGGATAAACCGCCCTTCTGGTGCTCCAATCACAGACTCAGAAAACGACGTCCCGAGATGCTTAAAAGTGCTGAGAAGGAGCGAGTGCACACAGCTGCCAGCCAGCGAGCAACCTCGGGATCATTCTTTTACCTGACTTTAAAAAGTATGGTTCCTTTAGCCAAGGTGCCTAGTCCAACTTTTTCCCTCCAGTGAATCACATCCTGGGATCCAATGTATAAATCCAGTATTGCATGCCACGTGCATAACTGTTCTAAAGAATCTTACGTACTGTATGAATCAGAATAGTGTACACTGCCTTGTAATGTAAAAGGGAAAAATTACATAAATAATGCCGCCAACTAAGTGTTACACCAACTAAATAAATAAAGCTTGAACAGTGAAAAAAAAAAAGTATGGTTATATCCGCATGATCCAAAACTACACAGCCCTAGAAATAAATGGTTGTGCTTAGTCTCTCGTGTTCGACTCTGCGACCCCACGGACTGTAGCCTGCTAGGCCTGGAGAATCCCCAGAGGACCTCTGTCCATGGGATTCTCCAGGCAAGACCACTGGAGTGAGTTGCCATGCCCTCCTCTAGGGGGGTCTTCCAAATCCAGGGCTCGAACCCAGGTCTCCCACATTGCAGGCGGATTCTTTACCATCTGAGCCACCAGGAAAGCACAGAAGAAATAAGTGGAAGGCATGATTTTGAAAAGATATCCCAGAGGCTGAATGTATACTAGGGGGACTGAACATTGGGCAGGTGGTGACTATAACAACAGGACTTTGAATTCAAGGAGATGGTTTTAACCAAGTTAGAGGGGAGAACACTGAGGTCACCGCCCACGTAGGCTTAGAGAAGACAGAATTCCAGGTTCTTACCCTGCGGGGACCCTCTGACCACCTGCAATGGAGTTTTGTGGCTTTTCTGGGTATTCAGCTTCTCTGGGGCTGCAGTGGGACCAAGCAGGAACCCAAGTGTCAACTCCCATGCAGGCGTTTTTGGAAGCTTCCCAATTATTCATAGCAGAGAGATAGCATCTGAGCCCTCATTATTTCTCTCCCACACAGTATGCTCCCAGAAGCAGAGCACTCCCTTGAGCCTCTGCCCAGCCCCTGGAGGTTGTCCAGACTTAGGCTTCTACTCAGTGAAGGGAGAACAGTAGCTAGGGTCCCACCTCTTGCTTGCAGACAACCTTTGTGGCAAGACAGGTGAAGTGCCAAACCTTCACTCTCCTATAGGGTGAAGCAGCATGTCCCGCATAGAGAGAGAAGAGCAGGAAACAGAAGTCCTCAAGTCTAGGACCTCTAAGGCATCAGAAACAAGGTGCTAAAACATGGATGTGGTAACTTTCATTGCACGTTGCTTCAGGATGCCAGGACTGGTGAGAAGAAATATCTAAATATGCCCTTCTTGAATGCCACCCCATGAAACTAAGCTGAGTAAGGTTTGGTCAGGTTTGATTGGTTCGGTTGTGCTAGCATTAGAAAGTTACAGTAAGTCTAGTAGCATCTTCTGAGAAGTAGCATGGAAAAACAATTCCCTCCAAGAAAGGTATTTTTCTCCTTTTCAAAGAAATCTGCCCTTCTTCTGTTCAGCCTGTGGCTGGAGAATATGTTTTATGTATTCATTCTTTCTTCATTCCCAAGACTTACTAAGCATGAATATTATGCTACCTATGTACGTGGTCCTGGGTATAAACACAAAACCCAGCAGATAGTGAGAGCTGCTGTAATGTGCCAGATACTCTCATGGGAAGAACAGACAGTAAACATGTCAACAAGTAAATTTATAAGGTTATTTTAGTGTATTGAGGATGGTTATAAACTAATTGAAAGAATGTTTTTGGGAGGGTGCTCCTCCTATCTGCAAGGGTCAAGATAGAATTATTAGAGATATGGGAGTGTCCTTTCAACTTAGATCTGAGTTATGTGATAGAAAATCATGCAAAATCTAGAGGCGGGGTCATCATCAAGAGAGAATATCAGTTTAAGGGCTCACCACAGAACAAGATTTATGCAGTCAGGGAGAGAAGGAGGGCAAATTCTGGCTTCACGTGGCCCAAGTATAATGAACCTTCATTTCTTTTCATTCTTTTTTCTATAGTCTGTTTTGCAGTGATTTTCACCATTCTGTCTTTGAGGTCATTTACCTGTTCTTCTGCCTCAGTTATTCTGCTATTGATTCTTTCTAGTGTATTGCTCATCTCTGTTTGTTCCTTAGTGCTTCTAAGTCTTTGGTAAACATGTCTTGCATCTTCATTCTTTTTCTGAGATCCTGGATCATCTTCACTATCAATATTCTGACTTCTTTTTCTGGAAGGTTGCATATTTCCATTTCATTTAGTTGTTTTTCTGGGGATTTATCTTGTTCCTTCATCTGGGACATAATTTTTTTTTTAATTTTTGTTAGCTTTCTGTGATTGTGGTTTTTGTTCTGGAGGCTGCTGGAGTATAGTTCCTGGTTCTTCTGTGTGCTCTCTGGTGGCTGAGGATAAAAGGCCTTGTGTAAGCTTTCTGATGGGAGGGACTGGCTGTGGGGGAAACTGGGTCTTGCTCTGGTGGTCAGGGCTGTGCTCAGTAAAATTTTAATCCAATTTTCTGCTGACGGGTAGGGCAGTACTCCCTCCCTGTTAGTGGTTTGGCTTGATGTGACCCAGTCCTGGAGTCTATAGGCTCTCTGATAGGGTTAATGGCAATCTCCAAGAGGACTTATGCCAACACGCATCTCTCAGGACTACTGCTGCCAGTGCCCCAATCTTTTCAGCAGAGGGCTTCTGCCAACACATGACTCTGCAGGAGACCCTCAAACACTCACAGGTAGGTTTGGCTCAGTCTCCAGTGGGGTCACTGTTCCTTTCCCCTGGGTCCTAGTGTGCACAAGGTTTTGTTGTGCCCTCCAAGAATGGAGTCTCTGTTTCCCCCAGTGCTGTGGAAGTCCTGTAATCAAATCTTTCTGGCCTTCAAAGTCAGATTCGCTGGGGATTCTCAGTCCCTTTCTGGATTCCCAGGCTGGGGAGCCTTATGTGGGGCCTAGAACCTTCACAACAGTGTGATAACTTCTTTGGTATTACTGTTTTCCGTTTGTGGGTTGCCCACCCAATGGGTATAGGATTTGATTTTACCTTGATAGCTCCCCTCCTACTGCCTCCTTGCTTCTCCTTTGTCCTTGGATGTGTGTTATCTTTTTTTGGTGGGTTCCAGCATCCTCCTGTCAATGGTTGTTCAACAGCTAGTTGCGATTGTGGTGCTTTTGCAGGAGAAAATGAGTGCATGTCCTTCTACTCCACCATTCTGAACTAATCCTAAGTGTAATGTATCTTGACCACAGCAATTGTGGCGTTCTCTGTTCAAGAGGCCCTGACAGCATCAAAGTACACTTGATAGATCATTTGGATGATGGCTGAAGTTTTTAGTTAGTTTTGATTGGATGATTTAATTACTGGCTATAAGACTGCTCAAATATATGACATTGACCTAATAAATTATGAGATTGACTATAGATGTATCTGAAGGATTGATAAGGGGACCTAACTGATGGTGTTTGAAGATGTGTTCACATTTCCTTCCTTCCTCTGTCAGTTTATATGACCCCATACATCAGCTGAGTTATTTAGTTTCTAGGTTATGACACTGTTTTTCCATGGTAGATACAAATGTGTGTAAAAAACATATTGTAAATGATGATTCAAGAAACTTTTTCAAGACACTAGTGACCAGTAGAATTTTAAAACAACAGTGCAATTTGAATTGAGTAAACTGAAGATTCTCTAATACATTATCTCCCCTCTCAGCAGTTTCTTTCTAGGGAGGTTATAAGGAACGAATAACATGACTTGTATGGCTTGGAGGGAGAGTGGTGTCAGCTGGAAAGCTGCTTAATAGGTCTTTGCCTGGTTAATGGGGCTCCCCATTGGGAAACCTCACTCCTCTTGTGTGCTATAGCCACTCAGTCTATTTTCTCTCTCTACTATGCAAAGGTCTATTCACTGTTCATACTGGGACAGACATAGTTCTACTACTTGGCACAGCAATGCTGCAGACAGTTTTTTGGGGGGTCACTGGTGACGTTTCCCAATAATCACTTGCCAATTATCTGTTCCTGCTCTCAGAATCCATCATTTAGAAACCTAGTGTCCCCTTATGAAGCTGCTTTTACATCCTCTTATTATGTGCTGTATGTTTCCCATGCTGAAGTATCACTGGAAAAATTCTATTTGAGTCTAGAAGGTAAAATATCACCCTGGGGCCCAATAGGTGGGTGAAAAGAATAGTTTTTGCAATTCCCTGGGGACAGGTCAGGGTTACATACTGGTTGAGCCAGGCATGCAGTCTGCACAGTGGTCCATGGAATCCTAGCATGAAAAGACAGGGTGGGTTTGCGGGGAGAAAGAAACTCCCTAGAAAGAAACTGGAGAGGTGAGGTGAAAGAATTAAAAGAAACACCTACCTGGGAAGGGAGTCCTCACTTTCAGACTCTTGTGAGCTTAACCCCGGTGAAGGATTTTACCCCCAGATCACAGCATTTGAGAGATTCTCAGAATGACTGTGTTAAAGTTTATTAAGCTCTTACGCTTGGCCTGCCATTGTTCTCCCAGCGCCCCATTTCAACCCCAGGTTTGGGGGAAATCGAGTTCTGCTCTGATTGGTAATGAGAAGTCAGGAGCCTTGGCAAGTCGTGGAGTTGGAGTTAGGATGTGAAGCGAGCCTAACCGCTCCAGAATCTGGCCGCAGATATCCCTCACCACAAAGCCAATCCCGAGTTTTCTCTTGTCCGCAGCCCTAGAGATCTGGCTCCAGCTCAGTTCGGGCGTGCGAGCTGTGAATCAGGTTCGTGGCGGCTCAGAGGAAGAAGGGACGCTCCCAGGAAAGTGTCCGAGGGAGACAGGAGCTCTGCGCTGCTGAGTCCAGGCTTCTGGAAACGTTTCGAGCGGCGACGGGCGCTGGGGGCTGGGGAGCCAAGTGCAAATGACTGGACGCCCCGCAAACGGACTGGAAGGGAAAGAGTCCTGGCGAGAGAGCAGGAGCGTTTCCGGGAAGCGAAGTTGTCAAGGCTGCTGGCTGCGCTTTGCTGGATCTCCTGGATCCCGACACGTGTGACCCAGTTTGACCACAGCTCTGTGGACCTCTGGCCACTCCTGTGCCCAAGAGACCCCACCGATTCCCCCACCCCCAGTTCAGCGCATCAAGGGACTGAGGGTCCCCCGGGAGAACTGCACCGGCCACCACGCCCCCGTGCCCGGTCCTCCCCCAAAAGTCAAAGCAGGAGAGAAAGACGCTGGAATTTGGTACAGTTTATTAAGAGAAAGAGAAGTTCTCAAATGTCTATGAAGACGAATTCTTCCACAATTTCTAAACAGAGAGGTGCTATTGTAATAGCGTCTGTCGCAGAGGATCGTCCAATGAAGAGTCTCAGCGGAGGTGAGGGCTTCTGGGGCCAAAGGGGGCGGGAGAGGCAGCCTCCGGCCGCTGAGACTAGGTCCGCGGCCACCATTCTTGGGACTTGCGGTGATGTCTCCCCAGGTCAGGAGGAGGGCGATGCTCCGAAACAGTCCCCGGGGTCAGAGGTCTCGGGTTTCAGAGGAGGGGTCCTCCTGTGGCGGCAAGACCCGCCCAGGGAAGCTTTGGGGGCGCGCGGCGTCTTCCCCTTCTGAGGACACCGGTGGCTCCCGGCCGGGCGCGGGCGTGGTGTCTGGAGTTGGCGGCCCGGCTCCCGGTCTGCAGTCGCTCTGCCTCCGGGTCCGTGTTTCGGGCACTGTGGGCGCAGAAGCCCGCAGGGGGTAGAAAGTTGTTTCCGACTGAAGTTCTCATTGTTCGAAGAGCGTTCGCCCAGAGTAGGATAGCAAGGCAGCTGCCATTCCTCGGGGTCCGCTAAGCTCAAGATTTGCAGCACCTCTGTTTCCTGGGGCTCCTTTGAGGAACCCCAGCACTCGTGCACACAGCGGGGAAAGTGCTCCATGGCCTCGCCCCTCAGCGGAGGAGAAGTTTCCAGGAATCCCCTCCTTGCGAATTTATGCTGTCCTAGGCTTATAGTCATGCTGTGTGGTTGTTCTCCGGTTACAAATTGGTTCAGAAGGCCGGACCTGAGGAGATGAAAGGAAAATTCAGACTCAGCGGTAAGGTATCTGCCTGCAATGCAGGAGACCCGGGTTCCATACCCTGGAGAATGAGATGGAACTCACTCCATCCAATATTCTTGCCTTGAGAATTCCATGTGCAGAGGTGCCTGGCGGGCTACAGTTCTTGGGGTAGCAAGAGGGTCAGAGGGGACTTGGTGGCTCTGAGCTTTTAATCCTGACCTGTCTTTTTATTCCCGTTGCAAATGGGTTTAGAAAGAGGGATCTGAGGAGGTTAAAGGAAAATCCAGTCATCTGATCGAGTTATTCAAAATTGAGTTGATTTTGTGTTTTGAGAGAATTAATGTTCTTGTTTGTTTTTCCAGGAATAACAGGTACAGGAGCCCTGTCAAGACAAGTCCTTTGGAAGATTACTCTTTTATGAAAAGTATCCTAAGTGCCTGACACTTTTAGGTAACTGTATGTCCATTGAGTCTCAGGGCCCGTCTGCTGGGAAAATTCCATCAAATATTACTCAGTTGATCAGAATGAGAAGTTGGCCATTTTTGTTTGAAATCATACTGCTGGTCAGACTCTCACTCTAGTTCTTCAGTTCGAAACTAAAATTACTTCAGACTTTGAGCCAACATGTTGGTAGGGGGAGTTGGTCTAGAAATCTAGATGCAGACATCTTGGATACAAGTTCTGTCTATTATTTCTATATGACTCAGCTAGTTACCTAACCTTTCTTGTCTTCATATTTTTACCTGGATAGTAGCAAAAATTTAACAGGAAGCTTTTATGGCTAATTCAATAACAAAGCCAAGTAATTAGATATTTCCTGACAAAAAAACATATTATTCACTTACAATTGTTATTGTCATCATCATTCTTAGTAACATGATCACGGACATTAAACATAACTTCAATCAATAGCAAACTGAAAATGTTGTCTTTTTCTGTGTCTTTAATCAGAGTGATTTGCTTTTTCCTCTTAGTGTCAGATCTAAAGTGAAATTGCATCTCCTTACATCCTTCCTCATTTCTTTCAGACATTGTCTTGGCAAACATGTCAGTGCATCCAAGCCTAAATTTCCTTGATCAGTCATTTATCTTCAACTTAACAAAGCCAGTTGAATTCAAAGAGTTCTAAACAAGAATGCTTTGACAACCTACCATGAGCAAGGTGCTGTGATAGTGCTGCATATACAGAATTGTAGAACTGGGTCCTGCTTTGGCAGAGCTGAATTTTAAGGGGAGAGCAAAGACACAGACAAGAGAACATGAAAATACAGCTGAATCTTGTTCCCTATGACAGTCGATTTGCTGCCTGGAAAGAAAACTCTAATGTTTGAAAGACTCACTAACGCCAATATTTTGCATGAGCTGAGGGAAAAAGACAATGGTAGGGGTAAAAATGAGGGAAAAGGAAACAGAGAAAAGAAGGAAAACAATCCAAATGAAAAATATGAGAAATAAGTAAATAAAGTAAGTGGATGAAAGTATGAACAGAGAAAGTAGAGGGTTGGAAGCTCTGGTCAAGAGAGCCAATAGTGGTAAGTTGAAGGGGTTCATTAAAATAACATGGAATGGCTGCAAATGATTTGGGGGGGGATCTAATGAGGAGATGTGGGTTTGATCCCTGGGTTGGGAAGATCCCCTGGAGAAAGAAACAGAAGCCTGCTCCAGTATTCTTGCCTGGGAAATCCCATGGACAGAGGAGCCTAGCGAGCTACGGTCCATGGGGTTGCAAAAGAGTTGGACACCATGACTGAGTGACTAAACAGCAACAATCTCTTCTAGTCTGTAAGGGTTTCCATTCTCTTTTACCCTTTCTCTTTCAAGTTTCAAAGAAAATGGCAAATCAAGTACTCTGTGCTACCTGTTTTTTCTAAATTTCATTCATAAATAACTTTTCTGAGCAGCAAGAATAGGAGAATTCCAGTGATCCTGTAAGCCAGCATGGAGCAAACTCATCCTTCAATACTGGGCATGTGAAATAGAAATATATCTTCCAGGTAGCTATATTCTCAAGACCAGAATGAGGTGGTTTTAAGAAGGGAAAAAGAATGAGTATTTTATAGATTCAACAAATAATCATCAAAATGAATGTGACATAATGTAGACAGGCTTCCGAATAAAGTAAGTCCATTTTCTTTTTCTGCCTATACCAAAAATAAGTATTGGTGCATTGTTAGGAAAAAGAGTATCATGATAGAATATAGATAGATCTGTGAGAAGAGTAAACAAGGGTATGTGAGGCACGGATTGGCTTCTGGTGAGAGTCAGGGACAGTCTTAGTGTGGGACTACAGGATCCTCAAGGATACTTCTATTCTCAGGGATCCTAAATATATGTTTCAAAAGGTGGGTTCCTTTTCCTGGGGGTTGGGATTCTAGTTTGAGGATGAGGAGGCCTTGCTTATTGACTGCTTTCTTAGTGCTGCTGTTCTTTATGTTTTGAGAAAGAAATGAAACAAAATGTAGACTCCTGAACGAGGAGCCACAGTTATGTCTTTCAGCCTTCCAGCACAAGTGGGTGATAGCTGTGAGCCCACTTGATTTAAGGGAGCAGTACAATCTGGAGAGTCTGAGAAACCCAGTTGGCTTGGTTTAGTGCGCAGGGTAAATATTCCGATTCTATTTTGAATCATTATTGTGCCTTGTAAGTAGACTAATTCTAAAGAGGCTTATCTTCTACAGTGGGTCATAGGGTACTCTCAGAATGCTAACTTTAAAAAAATTAAATAGTTTAATTTTCTCCTGTTTGATGTGTAGTTTCCTTCACATCCTTCTATAAAAATCAATATAGCTGTTCAACCTTGTGTGATGATACTTCATGGGATTAAAGACTGGGCAGTAAAGAGGAAATGCATCCTGAAACAGTAATCTTTTTTCAGAGCCAGCTCGCTGAAAACTGTGCGCTGTTAGGGTGACCATGCCCTGGCATCTAGGGGCTTCCCTGGTAGCTCAGCCGTAGACTCTGCCTGCAGTGCAGGACACTTTAGTGCAGAATATACAGTAAAGAATCTGCCTGCAATGTGGGAGATCCTCTGGAGATGGGCATGGCAACCGACTCCAACATTCTTGCCTGGAGAATCCCATGGACAGAGGAGCCTGGCAGGTACAGTAACATCACAAAGAGTTGGACGTGACTGAAGCGACTTAGTGACAGCACACATACATGTCCTGGCATCGATCCATCCAGTGGGAGAGGAACGGTGATGTGAAGTTTTCTTAAAGAGGAGCTGGGAATAACAGAGCGGGCCACAGCGAGGGCTGTGATGTAATGGTTGTGTGAATGATCCAGGAAGAAACATGAGAACATTCCTTTACACGTAGACTTGAGATAGATAACGAGAAATTGGGAAGTAAATTGGTACTTAGAGCACATGTTAAGATAAAATTCTAGGGCTTCCTTGGTGGTCCAGTGGTTAAGAATCTGCCTGCCAATGCAGAGGACATGGGTTCAATTCCTGGTCCAGGAAGATTCCACATACTGTGGAGCAACTAAGTCCCTGAGCTACAACTACTGAGACAACATTCTGGATCCCACAAGCTACAGCTGCTGAGTCTGTGGGGCAACTACTGAAGCCCAAGCACCTAGAGTCCCTGCTCCTCAATAAGAGAAGCCACTGAAATGAGAAGCCCGCACACCTCAATGAAGAGTAGCCCCCATGTGCCACAACTACAGAAAGCCTAGTGCAGCAAAGACTCGGCATAGCAAAAAAAAAAAAAAAAAGATCAAATTCTAACTCTCAGTTGCACATTCCATGGTTGGGACTTATTGACTTGGCTTGGGTAAATGCCAAGATCTAGATCATCAACCAAAACCCAGTTAGCACAAAGGTTAAGCATTAACTTGGCTACTACTGCAGATATATGAATAGGGAAATGGGAAATAGTTGTGAAAATGGGAGAGGGGCTCCTGCAGATGTATATTTTTCCCCCAGCCTTTACTGGAAAGCACATTTACAAAAAAAAAGTATAATTCTTTGCTTGTAAGAAGTGAAATTCTGGGTCAAAATAGTGTTCTCATTGAAATGTTTAATGTGCTTTCCATACAATATTGCCTTTCCAAAGATCCTTTCAAATCAATTCCCAAAAACTGTGTTGTGGAGTTTTTACCAACAGTGGATAAAATGAAAAAGTTTAATATAGGCCTCTATGGTAGTCAAAGTTATGTCATTGTTTCACTTTTCAGTTCATTGATGTTAAGAAGCCCTGACCTGGGTCTCAGCTCCCCGCTCAGTACAGCCTTCCCCCTCACCCATACCACTTCCAGTCCTGACTCCACCCACCCAAATCAATTCCACACGCAGAGAATAGGGAAACTGGCTTTAATCACTGTGCACAGTTGGAATACATAAGAAACACGATTCTGAGTGCAGCTACAAGCAAGTTCCTTAAGATAGCAGAGCGAGGCGGGGCCCAGGGGAGAAGTCCAGCCAGGCCGAATAAAGCCTCGGCTGGGGTGACTCAGGCTCCAGTCCAGGGCAGAGGTTAAAGGGCTGCTGTGAGTCAGACAGAAGGCTGCTTATCCTTCCCTTGCCGGGTTCCACCAGGTTTCAAGTCTCAGTTTTCCGCAGCCTCGGGTTGTGTGGAGTGGGGTGGGGGGCGTGCTGGGCTCCTGGAGGCGATCTGGCCGCGGGTCTGGCGGCCTCCGCAGCTGCTGGCATCTGCTGGCTGTTCAGACCCTCCTGGGCCCGCGCTGTGTGGCTTTGGCCTCTTCTTGAGGGGGCCGTCGCTCCAGCCCGGACTAGCAGCCGGCTCCCGGACTTGCGGGTCTCGCCAGCGTTTCTGGCCGCTCTCGACGCGGGGACCGTCCGCGTGTCCGGGGCAAGCGTGGCGCAGCAGCCCACAGGCGCAGTAGTGCGGGTCCCCGCAGAAGTCGGGGCTTAGGCAGGAGGGGCGGCTCAGCGCGGGGAAGTTATCCAGGGCCCAGGCCCAGGCCTGTTCTCGGTTCAGGCCCGGAGGCCAGTGGGGCTCGGGACGTGCGCTCCTCTCAGACTGCGCTTCCAAGGAGCAGTGCGCGTGCGCTTCCATGGTTTCAGCCTCCTCACCAGGCCGAGAAGAGAGCGTAGTGGGTCCAAGGACAGAGGCGAATGACTGAATGATTCAGCTGGGAGCGGAGTGTGACTTTTATATTGCTTGCCTGACCCGGTTTTGGGAAACCCTGGTGTTGATAGGTGGGATACACACTTATTTGCCTTGCAAATTACCTCGGGGTTTCTGGAGACTGAGGCGTTAACTACATCTTTCTGGGAGGGGCATGGAAGTTCTGAGTGATTTTTGGTGATTGGGTTAAAGGAGGGGGAGGGGAGGAGAGGAGGGTCCTCTTGGAGAGAGGTTCGTTCCTGGTCGTTGCCGTTCACTGGTACAATCCTCGCTACATGGGAGTCCCACCTTCTAAAAGTCACTCGGTTGGAGTAGGAAAGGCAGCGATCGGTCCGTCCCAGCAGAGCAGGGTGGCTGGTTTCCCGGCCTCTAGCCCAAGGTCATTATCCCCTCGGCTTCCACTCCAGCGGTCTCTGAGCAGGTCATCTCCGCCGGTCGCTGGCGGGCATTGGGCAAGGACGGTGGGGAGGTTCAGAGGGATTAAGGGACACTTTTTTGGGATTTGGATTGCGCCTGAGAAAGCCGAAACATTTGGGCCTTAGGAACCCTGAACTTCTGGGTGAGTTCGGGGAAGCGGTGGAGGAATGCGGTGGAGGCTGTGCCAGAACCGCGCGCACGTACTGGAGGGCACTGAGCTGGACTCGGAGCCCAAAGGGGCCACGGCCACGGACCCGGGGCCCTTCCCGGGCGAGTTGTGTCCTCGGGGCTGCAGACCGCCTGTCTGCTCTCCTCGGAGGCCCAGTGTGGGTCGGGAGTCAACGGGAAGCCACGCCTTTCCCCCAATGTCCCCCCCACCCCCGGGTGCACAGGCGACCCCAGGGTCCCAACGGCGCCCAGCAAAGTCGGGCGACCATGGATCTGCGCTGGAACAGGCAGCCACCGCCGTCCGTGCGCTTCGTCTTCCCAAAGGGACAAATCAGAGACTCACTCACCTGAGGAACAGCGAACTGTGACATCGTTTTTCGTCATCTTTATTGATTAGCGAAAGGAAAATTACCGAGAACTCTGAAGGCAAAGGGTTTCCATCCTTGTAGAGCAAAGGCAGAGTTGTTAACGGTAGCATTTGCCCACGGAGATGAGGGACTCAGCGCAAACCTCGGACTCCTGGCATCCTTGGGTCTTCCGGGCCCCGGCGCGTCGGATCCGCTGCCTCCAGCCTTGGCACCTGCGGTGGCTTCTGAAGGCAGGAGCCACGCGAGGCTCCGTAGTGTCCCCGCTCTCGGCGCTCTCTGGATCCTCTCGTCGGTCTAGGAAACGGTGCCACCCGGCAAGGCAGGTTGCAGGGGCGGCGGCCGCCTCTCCCCGGGGCGCCTCTGGGTCCGGGTGGGTCGCGGACTTCGTGTTGGGGGCAAGGGGGCTCTGTGTCCCGCCGTGAGGCGCTCCGGCCTCCAGCAAAGCGTCCGTTTCGTGAACTGTCCCAGCGCCGGAGCCCGCAGGGACTAGAGAGCATTTCTCCATCGAAACCCGGACGGTCCCAGGAGAGCTCACACAGGGCAGTGTGGAAAGGGAGTGGCGGCCACGCGGGGCCCGCGGAGTCTGGTCTGGCGGCTTCTAGGGCCCTGGAGCCTCGCCGGCGGGATCCGAGGCGCAGAGCTCACAGCCGCGAAAGCGCTGCGCAGAGGCGTGGTTCTCACACCAGGAGATGCAGAGTGTCTGCGATTCCAAAGTCCTCAGTCCGCAGTTTTTATGTTCTTCTGGCCTCCTGACGGCCCTATCAGATAGAAGGAGGTTGGGTGGTGACAGTAATCCTAGGAGATAACTGCATCAGAAGCTCTAATACTATTAAAAACATACATCTCGGATAAAATTACGCAGGTCAAATCTCTTCAAGATAGGTTGGATTAGGGTTGAAAAGAAACAGTACTAGTACACTGGAGGGGAAAAATGTTTGAGTGAACACCGGGGTACAGAAGGGCTTCTCAGGTGGGCTAGGGATAAAGAACCCACCTGCCAATGCAGGAGACGTGAGAGACACGGGTTCAATGCCGGGTTGGACAGATCCCCTGGAGGAGGGCATGGCGACCCACTCCTGGAGCATCCCCATGGACTGTGGAGCCTGGGTGGGCTACAGTCCATAGTGTCACAAAGAGTCTGAGCAGGCAGGCAATATTCCATTGTATCTATTTATCTATAGTCTTTTTTATCTGTTTGTTGATGAACATTTAGGTTGCTTCCATGTCTTGGCTATTTTAATTAGTGTTGCAGTGAATGTCAGTGTGAATCTTATCTAAGTGTGCTTTTATCCAAATACATGCCAAGTAGTGGGATTTCTGGGTCACATGGTAGCTCTATTTTTACTTTTTTAAAGGAACCTCCATACTGTTTTGCATAGTGTCTGTAGCAACTTACATTCCCACCAACAGTGTAGGAAGGTTCCCTTTTCTGCAAAGCCTCTCCAGCATTTATTGTCTGTAGACTTTATGGTGATGTGAGCTGATACCTCATTGTAGTTTTGATTTATATTACTGTATTAATTAGTGATGTTGAGATTTTTTCATGTACCTTTTTATGTTGAGCATCTTTGCATGTGCTTTTTAGCCATCTGTATGTCTTCTTTGGAGAAATGTCTATTTGGATCGTCTATTTTTTTTTTTTGATTGAATTGTTTTTTATTATTGAACTGCATACTTTGGAGCTTATATTGAGTTTGTATACCTTGGAGATTAATCTCTTGTTGGTCACTTCATTTGCAAATATTTTCTCCCATTCTGTGGGTTGTCTTTTTATTTTTCCCCTTGCTGTGCAAAAGCTTTTAACTTTAATTAGGTCCTGTTTGTTTATTTTTGTTTTTTATTTTCATTATGCTAGGAGGTGAATCCAAACACATAATGCTGCAATTTATGTCAGAGTGTTCTGCCTATGTTTTCCTCTTAAGAGTTTTGTAGTATCTGGTCTTACATTTAGGTCTTTGATCCATTTTGAGTTTATTTTTTTGTATGGTGTGAGAGAATATTCTAATTTGATTCTTTTAAATGTAGCTCTCCAGTTTTCCCATCACCACTTATTGAAGAGACTGTATTTTCTCTATTGTACATTCTTGCCTCCTTTGTCATAGATTAATTGACCATAGGTGTATGAGTTTATTTCTGAGCTTTCTGTACTGTTTCATTGATCTATATTTCTGTTATTGAAAGTCAGCTTTTTTTGGTTAGCTGCAGTGGGGGAAGACCATAATAGAAATAATAAATGGTAAAAGTAACAAAACAGAAAAATCAAATAACAAACAGTAAAGATGGCAGATGATTGAAAACTAGCTGGATGAATTTAGGAGGCAATTTAAGGCATTTACAGCTGAGGTGAAGTGAAGTCGCTCAGTTGTGTCCAACTCTGCAACCCTGTGGACTAGCCTACCAGGCTCCTCTGTCCATGGGTTCTCCAGGTGAGAATACTAGTGGGTTGCCATTTCCTTCTCCAGGGGATCTTCCTGACCCAGGGATCGAACCTGGGTCTCCCTCATTGCAGGCAGAGGCTTTAAGCTCTGAGCCAGATTCAGACAAAGATATTCAGAGTAGATAGCAGAGCTCTGCTTTAGTGGATGGAGAGTGAGGCCAACTCAGAATTGTTCAAACCCAGTCACAGCTGAAATCCAATGTGGGGGAAGGCACAACTAGTTATTATTTCCTTTCCCTTCTTTCACTGCAATTTCTTCCTATGAATATTTTATTTAAAAAGTCTCATGTCAGTCTTGTGTGATTTATTCTTTTGTGTGCTTATATTTTCAATTCATGTAAAAGGTATTAGGCTAAACATGTTATTTTATTTATTATTTCCCACTCATTTGCAAATTCCTAAGATCTTTACAGGGACATTTGATCTGTTTCCACATCTGGCACATTAGCCTCTTATAAGTCTCTGCCACTTTATATATTTGCTGTCCCCAGTGGGTGCTCAGATGGCTGTTTAGTCACCACCACCATATATAATAGTCCCTTATGGACCTGTGAGAAAATTTCTGTTGGATATATACCCATGAGCAGAATCATATCATAGAAAATGTATAAACTTAACTCTACCGACTTTTGCTAGGTGGTTCTTTAGAATGTAGTATTTATAATCCTCTAATAATAGTGCATGAAGTTTATTAACACTTGATGCACACATTTCCCACAAAGACTCTAAATGACCCCAAATCCCAACATTTGCCAGGGTCTGCATGGTCCTCAGAGAGCAACTGCAGGGTGATAGCCACAGATGCAGTATTTTCTTATTTCTGACAGTCTCTCTTTGTGCCTTAGTTTGCAGCGAGCTTCTGAAAGATACTCTCTGTTGTTCAGTCTAAAATCTGGATTCATCTTTCTATTGAATTTTAAGTGATCTTTATCTCCTAATAAATCCTGTTATGCTTACACTGTTAAGTGCATTCCATTTCTGTTGCTAAACACCGGAAAAAGAAACAACAGTGACAAACATTCAACTTTATACTTCTTAAAGTTTATTACAGTCTCTCTGTCTTTTAACAAACTTTATAGAATAAATCTAGATTGTCTTTAGAAAACATTCAAGTATTCAAGGTTTTTTTCTTTTCTGTGTTCAGGATATTTTGACAATATTAGTTTGATATCATTCATGATTTTTAGATGAGAAAAAGGGAGAAATAAAAGAAAAAACCCAATTTTTCTCAATATTTTGTCTTAAAAACTTAGTTTCCCTTTTTTATCAGCCCTTCCTTTATGAATTATCTGTAATCAAAATAAAAATATTTTGATCCTTTATATATGTGATAATTTTCATTAACATGGGGATCTTAGGACAGAAGCGAGGAGGGCTGCATCCTGGGGCCTCTGATCCAGGCTGGGTGCTGTTCTGCTAGGCCAGAGACTGGAGTCTGAATGTGGCTAGGGTCTGGGAGTGGTGGTGGTGGGCTGGTGACGAGCATAGAGGGTCAAGAAATGGAAGACCTAAAAGATGTTTCTCAGGAAAGGAACATTTTCCAAGCAGAAATACTCACATTTAACCAGATTCCTGCCTCACTGCATATCCGCTCTCAGAGTTGCCCAGATTTAAAGACCGGCTTTGTGTGAGGCTGACCATCAGTATGCCTCTGCCATTGGCCAGGTTGAACATCTCCCACTGCCATGCCCAGGACCAGAAGAGGACCTGTTAGCAGACTGCAGGAGAGCTCAAGATCAGAGCCTTGTCCCCTGTCCTTTGCCTTTCTCCAGATCAAAGCTTTTATTCAAAATATTAAAGAGAAAGAAAAAGCACTTTCTTACACATATATTCTTCCTCTCCTCTAGTTCCTCTGTACTTTTTTAAAAAGTAATTTTATTTATTTACAGTGATCTTCTGACACAATATAATTAATCACCCTAGTACAGGTATAATCATCATTATTTGATCAATACTGTTATGATAGAGGACTTCTCCGCTGGTTCAGTGGTAAAGTAAAATCCACCTGTAATTCAGGAGAGGCATGTTGGATGCAGGGAAGATCCCCTGGAGAAGGAAAGGCAACCACTCCAGCTTTCTTACCTGGGAAATCCCATGGACGGAGGACCCTGGTGGGCTACAGTCCATGGGGTCACAAAGAGTCCAACAACTAAGTGACTAACAACAACATTATGATAGAAGTGTCAGGCGAGTGTATGCTCCTCGGTTTTGTCTCATCACAACAAAGATTTGGAGTGACGGACGTTAAATTCCCCTCCCCCCCCCCCCCCCCCCCCGCGTGTTACAGCTCTCAGGTCTCGAACAGACTGTGTTATAGCTCTTAGATAAATCAGTGTTATAGCTCAGTGTTACAGCTCTATTTTATTTAGATAATAGCAGGAAAATCCATCTTTGAGGCATGAGGGCATGTCGACCCAAAGACGTGAAAAGAGCGCCCCAGCACGCGGGGGGTGTGGGGGGGGAGAGCTAGCTTTGGCTCCTCTTTTTATATATTTTCCTCTCCCTGGGCCTGTCCTATGTAAATTGGGCCAGCCAGGAGTGCTGTTTGTTTCACCTGAGGTTCTCACTCTGGTCCTCGGACCTTCCTTTGTTCTATTTTCGCAGGCTTTTCCCTTCCAGGTCTTTTAGCCACCACCATTTTGACTCCTTTTCCCTATTCTAACTACCTAACAGAAGGTAGGTAGCATACTCCCAATGAAGAACAAATGGCCTTTAAAAATATCCTTAGGGATTTTTTGATTAGTATATGGATCCACAGTAAAACTGTAACAAGAATAGCCATCCTCCATTTAGCATCTTTCACAACCAAAGTTTATTCTCCGGTGTTGTAAACTTTGCATAATGCCATTAATTTAATAATCCTTTATTGAGAGCCTGCCCTTTGCCAGGTTGTATGAAAAGAGCTACTATTGTAGCCATGCATCCCGGGAAACAAACTCACCAAGAAGGACAAAGCAGACAGTGGAGTGCAGTTTACCAGCGGGCCCAAGGCAGAGTCTACTCTTGGCCAAGGACCCCTACCAGTTTCTGTGAAAACCTTATATACCCTAAGTGTACGTGCCCAAACC